TTCATGTCTTAGCTCTGGCACATAACCGAAAAAAGCGTAACGAAAAAGTGTTACGCTGTTATCTGATATGAGATATGAGATAGGGGTAGTGGATAGGGTGAGTGATAGGGACGGGAGATAGTGGGTAGGGGATAGGGGTAAGATATAGATAAGAGATATGTTGTACGTTCAACGTTCAAATTAGTACTAAATTATAAATTCAAAATAGTTTAATTCTCCATATATTAAACTATGCTAAGTTACTTTTGGCCAGATAATAAACCATAGACCTATAAAGATATGGACTGCGCCTCTCACACACCCCGCCTATGCGGGAGCACGACACGGAGCCACTCGACAAGGAGCCACTCGACAAACAGCCACCGAAAATCGACACGGAGCCACTCGACAAACAGCCACCCGAAGAGATACCAACATGTACAATATTTATGTAAAATGTACGATTATTATTTGTGTATGTTGTGCGGCCGACACCACATATTATAACGGAGTAATAGCAAAAAATGTAATTTCCAAATTGTATATCAATAAAAATAAAAACAGTAACTTTGTAGAAAATATTATATTTTTATTAAAACCCCTATTGTATAGAAGACATTGTTACTATGTTCATTGTAAACATTTCAATTTACTCAACAGGATTTATTGTTAACTCATGCTATTAATAATAATTATTGTTTCTAAATATTTTTACTCTATTATTATAAATAATTATACATTTTTATATTATTGATACTTATTTATTAATATAATACATAGGTAAAAAAATTATGTATATTGCAACGATATTAATTGAATAATATTTTAACTTGCTTTCATGTATTCCAATTAAATTACAAATATATTTTAAATATAAAACAAATGAAGTTATTGAACATTGTTTAATTTGTGTGCATTTTCATGAGTATCGGAATGAACGATCCATGTATATATTATATATACAACTAAAAAGTATTTGATAAAGGTTTTTACTTTTTATTGACTTAGAACTAATTATTAAAAACTCAGAAGCAGAGGGTTAGAATTAGATAAATACCGATATAAAAATCCAAAAAAAGTACATTTTTAGCTAATTGGCCAATGTGTATATTTTCCACCCATTTGGCTTATGCTATAGGCCATCTATATAAATTGGATTTTTTTATCTGATTAATTATTTCTATTTTTATTATCTATATATATATATATATATATATATATAAATGAATGTATGTGTGTGTGTCCCTCACAACTTTCATCAGAGTTTGTAGAAAAACAGCATTATATATTTATTTTGTGTTAATATATGTAGAATCATAAAATATAAATGAATAACCAAATTATAAAAAATGATTAACATGTATTGCTTTATAATAGCCCGTAATACTTTATAATATTAGCGGGGCGCGATAAAACATTAATATTTACTACTAAGTCATCCTCAAGTCTCAACAATGTGCATCGGGCGAGCCAAAAATTGTTCATTGTTCGCTATAGCAAAATCCCAATTAAGTCAAATATTAGCGTGATGAAATTATGATGCAAAAAAAAAAAGGACCACGACGGGCGGGAGGCAGGTAGACGAGGAATCCGATGATAATTGAGCGGCGATCGACGGACGAAGTACCCAGCGGGCGCGGGTAGACGTGCAGTGCCGGGGCGCGCACGTATGTCGATTTCGGCGAAAGTCTGTAACTTCCAAACTAAGTGCGAGCGGCGCAAATTTTTTACATATTCGTAATCAACATTAAAAGTACTGTCAATTTAAAAAAATAATCGAAAAAAAGGATGCCCGGTAAAGTAGATTTATACCATAATTATTTGTAATGTTCTAACTATATTTTGTTATTTTTCCAACTATGTTCAAAATTTAAAAACTATAAGCCAAGTGTAAATAATTTAGTAAACATTTTTTATAAACTTGATTATATTAATTTAGTATTTTTCTTTAATAATGTACAATTGTTTCTAACTTCAATATTAAAATAACTTGTATGAAATCCGTTGTGTTCATAATATGTACACTATTAGTTTTTATTCAACAAATGATTAATATTATATGTTTATTACTGCTGATAATAACTTTTAAAAATAAACATGTACATAATCATTTTAGAAAATACATTTTTGTCAAGGCTGTTAGAATACTTAAGCCAAACAATTTTTTTTTTATTAAATCGTGGTCAATAATAAAATAAATTTTAATAATTATAACATTAAAATTTATTAAACAGTAACATCATCAATTTTTTTAGTAAAAACTATTTCCTTGCAGTCTTTTGTTAAGTACCGGCCACCGCCAACGTGTTGAACCATTATATTTTTTTTTTTGATAGCTCGAATCTCATAATTATTTAACATCAGTGATGGATGGCCGCAGTTGGTAACCAACCGTTAGTTTGTATAAACTTGACCATAGTAAACTTAGTAATATTAACGTTTCGTTAATAACTATAACCGTATGAGACCCACTTCACGTTAATTATAATATCTTTGATTAATGATAATCAATGATAATATTATGTATATTATATTATAGCACCTGAGCCATGTGAATTTACTACTCATAAATTCGTTATAGTTTGACTTGGTTTATATTTATTTTAATATAGATTGTATTATAAACTATTAACTATTAACTCCAGCCTTCCTCTTGTATCTGACCTTGTTTACACATAAACTGGAGTGATCTATTTTATATATTAGCTGGACATTAGTGATAAGTCTGATGAGTGCATCATATCTAGATCCAAAAGAACCATACCGGTTATTTTAGACCCCAAAAAACTACTGCCGGCTTAATAATATATAAACATTTTATTCAGCATCGGCAAGGTGCCAGTCCACCATAGGTTGTCCCTGTTTGAATTTACTATTGTGTAGCTAAGTATAAACAAATACTAACAATTAAGCATTGGTAGTATATATGGAAAAAAAATGTCAACCACAAAATAAAAAATAGCTGTATATTTCAATAACAAATGGAACTTATCACAGATGTTATAAAAATAGCGTAGACAGTAGACACAACGTGGTCACACGGCGCGCGTAACACTGTTTTTTTATACTATTATAATTTATAACTTATAAAGGTTCTGTTCAAATAATAAGTGTCAGCTAAAATACGTTCGATGACATTATTTTCGACCTAAATATTTTTCGTAAAAATTATTTTCGACTTAAATATTTTTCGGCTATTATATTTTTGGTTAATATATGTTTCGGTTCTAAATATTTTCGGAATTGTTATTTTTGGCATATATATAACATGATAACTAATACACAGATATGAAAATATATAATACAAAATTAAATAATATTTAACTATAATTTATTATTGTGTTATTGCCTATTGGAAGTTGTAAAGTATTTAAGTAAATGTGTCTGGTATCTAATAGTTTCGTATGAGGTATTCACGATATATTGTTTTAAATAGATAAGTATAATATATCGGTATTAAATAATTTTAAAAAAAAGTATAATTTCATTGAAATTTGATCAATGAACATTCTGCTTTACTTATTATAAAACGTGTAAGTATGTTTTGAAAAACATTTTTTTTTTAAAACTCAAGAGACAATTTATTGTTGGTAAATTATCACTATAATATAATATTGTAAATATTGTTTCATATACTTTCAGTTTTTTTTTTATATAAATTTCAATAATAGAAACTGATTTGATTATAACTTAAATAAAAAAACTCAAAACCGGAGACAGGTCACACAGTGAATTAAAAATAGTTCTAGCCTTATTGCATTAATTATGAAATGTACAAGTTTTCCCCTTTAAATAAACAATACTAGCCGCACAACATACACGAATAATAATCGTGCATTTTTTATAAATATTGTGTATGTTGGTACCCCTTTGAGTGGCTGCTTGTCGAGTGGCTCCGTGTCGATTTTCGGTGGTTGTTTGTCGAGTGGCTCCGTGTCGAGTGGCTCTTTGAGGTGTAACCCGCCTATGCTGCCACGTTATGAACAACGTTAGAAAGAGATAGATGGTTGTTAGGTTGACCATGGAATAAAAATTGAAAAGACATGGAATAATAATAATTTAAATATATATATGACAATACACCAAATGGAAATTTATAATAATTAAATCTTATTTAATTATTATTTATTATTGTGTTATGCGAAGTTGTAAAACATTTAAGGATATGTATTTCATTATTTTGTCGGGTATCCAATGCTTTCGTATGATGTATTGTTTTAAATAGATATGTATATAGTATATCGTTAATAAATACTTAAAAACCATTACAATTTCATTCAAATTTTATCAATGAACATTCTGTTTTACTTTTTATAAAACGTGTATGTTTTGAAAAATAGTTTTTCTTTACAAACTCAATAGACAATTTATTGTATCACAGATCTGCATCTAAGTTTAAACAAATTCACTAGGTATTGTAAAATCACTACTTATTTGTTTCTTCTTCAAGTTACGACCAATATAATATAATTATATGCAGCTGGCAAATAAAAATGTAATGTCAGAGCAAAAGTACGTAACTCAGGAGAGTATGCACCAGACTCGTGATGAATTTGTCGCATAATTAAAGCAGTTTCTACATTAGGTAGACTCCTTTAAAAAAAAAAAAATATATATATATATATATAAATTCTTTAGGGTATAATTTTACAAATAAACAAAAGTAAGAACTATACAGTAACCAAAAAAATTAATAGACATAACACAACAATTTTATTATTTTTATCACCAATAGTATATTTTTTATTTAAAAAATATAAACATATAAACACAAAGCCCCAACATCATTTTGATTTCACTAAAAAATTCAAAGAAGTTATGCTATTCATACATTATTAAAACGAGTAAATAAATATTATATTTAGAAAAATGTTCTTCATCGCTAAATAAAATTGTATTACGAGTGAAACTGTTAACAATACACAACGGTCCATTTTGTTTTGTTCCTCAATGAAACTGTTCATAGATATTTAAATATATCTATAAAAGCCATGGATATGACATCACATTTTACTGAAAAATAACAAATTAATACACACAGTCATTGCAATAATGATAAAAATGTTTGAGATAGAATCAGTTTTAATATCAATGGTTCTTATTAGAAATATTTTAGGTGGATAAAAATTGACAATTAAGACGTACTATGAAATTTTTAAAAATTATTTTGTGAAGAACATATAAAATATATAGTAGTTAACCATGTAGTGTAAAAAGATAAAGGAGGAGAATATTTTTTGTGATGAGCCATTAATATTACAGTAAAAGGATACGGATCAACGATACTTAAATTCATGATTGGATGTCAGGATTGCATAAAATCCAAGCCCTGTCTTTGGTAACAAATCCATAGAACATTGAACACTGAACGTAACCTTATCAACCAAGCCATTTAACACATACAGCAATAACTATAAAAATTAAATCAAATTAATTTTTTTATACAAAAAATACGTTTTTTTAACATGTATTTGACATTATTATGATATATTTACCTTGAGTAATGAAAAACAATTTTCATTAACTTTCTTTTCATCTTTCAGATGATCAAATGTCAGATTTTTTAATATCTTCTTCATTCACTAAAATAAAAAAAACACATTAGAAGTTGCTTTATTTTGAGATTTATAAAAAATTAAAAACAAAATATTTTCTAAATTACTTGGCATTTATAGTAAATTTCTTCCTTCTTCATCATCAAAGACTTCGACCATTTCAACATTGAATAATTTCTTACATGCTTCTATAATATATTGTTTGAAATTAAATAATAAGTAAATAAGATAATATAAGAAAAGTAAAATTAATTAACAAATTACTCTAAAAAAAATTACTTCCATAAAGGTACCTACTATCACATAACATTAACAAAATGTATATACAATATTATATTTATAAAAAAAATACATAAATTTGGTAACAATTACAAGTATAAGGAAGAACATACCCAGTTTAAATTCACTTGGCACAGCTTCTTTTTTTACCAGTAAAGCTCAAGTTATAGTCAGATTCTATAAAATGACTACTGCATATTTTTGTATGCGTCGCCGGAGTAAAATCTGGTTGAAACATACGTATCGCATTTGCCCATTTTAAAAGCATTTCATGATTTCTAGGCTAGCTTTGAAACAAATTATATTATTATTAAAATCATTGATTATATATTATTAGTATATTACTATTAGTAATATACCTATGATCAATATTCAAATGTATAAAAATATAATATAAGTAAATAATGTCTCAACTTACCGATGCATGATGCAATCTTTATTTGATTTTGTTTTGCACGAACGAATGACACATTGAAAAACCATTATAAGAAATTAAACGAAATTCAATATTTTAATTACTAACAAGAATAATTAAAATATTTTAATATAAAAATTTCGTTATCGGGTATTATCATATTACTATTTCTCCCATGACCAACCTAACAACTCTCTGTCTCTTTTTAACGATGTCGATATTCGGAACTCTCTCTCTACTATCAGTCCATTTCTTTATAGGTCTATGTAATAAACACTACAAT